CGTGCGTGCGTGCGTAGCGTAGCGTAGCGTAGCGTATGCGCGTACGTTCGTGCGTGTGTGTGTGTGCGTGTGCGTGTGCGTGTGCGTGTGCGTGTGCGTGTGCGTGTGCGTGTGCGTGTGCGTGTGCGTGTGCGTGTGCGTGTGCGTGTGCGTGTGCGTGTGCGTGTGCGTGTGCGTGTGCGTGTGCGTGTGCGCGTGCGTGTGCGTGTGCGTGTGCGTGTGCGTGTGCGTGTGCGTGTGCGTGTGCGTGTGCGTGTGCGTGTGCGTGTGCGTGTGCGTGTGCGTGTGCGTGTGCGTGTGCGTGTGCGTGTGCGTGTGCGTGTGCGTGTGCGTGTGCGTGTGCGTGTGCGCGTGCGCGTGCGCGTGCGCGTGCGCGTGCGCGTGCGCGTGTGCGCGTGCGCGTGCGCGTGCGCGTGCGCGTGCGCGTGCGCGTGCGCGTGCGCGTGCGCGTGCGCGTGCGCGTGCGCGTGCGCGTGCGCGTGCGCGTGCGCGTGCGCGTGCGCGTGCGCGTGCGCGTGCGCGTGCGTGTTCGTGTGCGTGTGGGTGTGGGTGTGGGTGTGGGTGTGGGTGTGTGTGTGGGTGTGGGTGTGGGTATGTGTGTGTGTGCGTGTGTGTGTGTGTGCGTGCGTGTGTGCGTGTGTGTGTGTGTGGTGTGTGTGCGTGCGTGTGTGAGAGCGCAGGGCTATTTGGAACCACGCGTCAAAAAACGGTGGCCCGCTGGCGTCCTGAAGCATGCCGGGGTCTTTTGGAGCCTGCGGGGCGGGCCCTCCGCGCCTCCAGGGGCGTCGTGGGGGCTCTTGCGGCGCACGGTCGGCATTCGCAGGGAGCTCAGTTGAGGAGAGGGCCCAAAACCCTTCTCGGGAGCGTCTCACAGGGACCTCTGAAGCCTTAGGTCGGGCATGTCCCCCTACAGGGGGATTTTGGGCAAACTGAAAAAAATCAGCACGTACCCCGAATTATCAAACATCGTCCCCTGACTATATTTTGACTAGTTTTGAATATTCCCCCTGTCGAGAGACACGCCCGACTTGATATTTGGGGCCTCTTTGGGCCCTCCATTGGCCATGGGAGTTTCTTCGGAACCTGTCGGCGGCCTCGGGGCTCCTGTGGGGGGCGGGAAGCTCGAAATTCGAGCTCGGTTTCCCCCTCTCGGGCCGCTCTTGGGTCTCTCTTGGGCTGTCTCACGAACTTCTTGAGCCGTCTTACATCCCTCATAAGCTGACTTGGGGCTGCCTTGAGGACCTCTCGGGCCGTCTTGGGGGTCTCTTGGGTTGTTGTAGACATCGTTCACTTCAGGAACGAATCTGGCCAACAAAAAAAGATTGCCTGAACGAGAGAACATATGGTTGCTTCTCGGGGTCCTCTTGGAGGTCCCCTTGGGCATGCATCGTGCTGTGAGTCCGCCACATGCTTGTGTAGCAGGTACGCCGCGCCCGAGCCCCATTTCAGCTGGCGTCTCCTCGCCCAAGCGCCCGGAGACATGCTGAGACACTGAGGGGCCAGTATCAGACGCCAGGCGAAGGCTGGCAAACCCGTGGCTGCTAAAACGGAGCTCCAGGAAACTGCTTCTACTTCTTCTTCTTCTTCTTCCGGGAGGCAGCCCGTTTACTTTAGCGCGCTGAATTGTATTCTGGGCACTTAGTTTGATCTTCCGGGGGGACCCTTTTGGCAGCCACGTCTTTGCCAGCCTTAGGTCGGGCATATCCCCCTACAGGCGGATTTTGAACGAAATAATTCTAAAACGCACACCAACAGGACCAACAATAATCAAACAAATCGTCCCCAGACCATTTGTTCCACGATTTTTGCAGATGCCTCCCGTAGAAAACATGCCCGACTTAATGCCGGCCCTCGCCCAGCTTCCGCCACTGTCCTCCGCCGCCGTCAAATGGATCCTCCGGGCGGCGATCATGTATCCTCTCCGCCAAGGCGGGGTCCCCGAAAATGGATCCTCCGGGCGGCGGTCATGTACAAATCCCGCCTCGGAGGGAAGAGCACTGAGCTTCTGTACAGACCTGCTCTTCGCGGTGTGCAGACATTGGTCCGAGCGTCCTGGTGCTGGGAAGCCCTGTCCACGCGCCTTCCATCCCGCCTGGAAGACTGGAGCGCTGACTCCACAGAAGAGGGATGGCTGGGCGAGGAGCTGCTGCGCCAGCGGCCAGGAGAGAAGCGAGGAGGCAGGAGGAGGAGTATGGAGACCACAATGGTACGAGAACCTTGCAAGAGACCTCTCTGACCCCCCAAAGAGCCCCAGGAGGGCCCCAAGATTGCCCCAAAAGAGCTCCAAGAGGGCCCCAAGAGAGCCCCAAGAGGGCCCCAAGAGCACTCCAAGAGGACCCCAACAGGACCCCAAGAGAGCCCCAAGATGGCTACAAGAGACCTCCTAGAACCTCTCACAGCAACACCTCAACTCGCCTGGGCATCGCTGCTGGATGGGCTGGTGGGGATACTTTTTTTGGTCGCGGCCGCGAGACAAGGGTCAGGCGGCGAAAGCAATTTGCTGGTGGGGATACGCGAAGCGTCAAGAATTTTCCAAGCCGGATCGATCTGTGAGGGTCCCGGGGGCCTGGACCTGGGCGAAAATGCCCGGTGTGAAAAAGCTGCAGCGCCAGGATCTCAGGGAGGGGCAGCCAACGACGTCAAAGCGCCCCCTCCTTAGAGATAGGACCGCCCCACACCCTAGAATCGAACATCTGCTGCGCCCCGGCGCAGGTCTCCGCGGAGGTGGGCCGCCGGCTCCAGGGCGGTCCGTGCAGCCCAGCGCGGGCGCGGGAGAATCGGCGACGAGAGCGGGGCTTCTCGGAAGCCTTCGCGCCGTCCGGGAGGTTTTCCGCGCCCTCGGGCAGGGCTCCGAAACCTTCCCAGAAGGCCGGGGGGCTTCCGGGCCTTCTGAGGAGGCCCGCCCCTTCTCGCTTCCCCCCGGGCTCGTCGCCGAGAGGGGGGGGGGGGATGAGGAGAAGCAAGGGCCCGCGGAGCGAGGCAGGCGGAGAAAGCGGCAGCGACGGGAGCACACCGATGCCGAGGCGGCGCGCGCGAGGGGAGCCACCCTGTGGACTGAGCAGCACGAGGCGAGCGGATTGCCACGCCACCGCGAGAATCCACGAGCGAACAGTGGAGGCCTGGAAATGGGCACCAACATCAACACAGGGGTTTGCCTCCACAGGGGGAGGATGATCCTAGATTTCGGTGCTGGTGGTAATATGTCGGTCGCCTTGGAAGCCAGATTATCACAACCGTCACCGAGATCGGGATCTTCCTCCCTCGGTGGAGGCACACCGCCGATACTGGTGTTGGTGTCAACCTCTAAGCTTGTGGATGCCACGACAATGGACACCCTAACAGTCCTGTCATTGAACTCGACATGTACTTCAAATGTAAGAAAAGTGTTCTCAACATGTTTCAAACAGGCTCTTTACATGTTTAAACATTTCTCGTCCTCGACAACTCTAAGCCTGCGAGAACCCAGAGATCCGATGTCGTGATTTTTTCAATGCGGGGTCCCCGGAAGTCTCGACCCATTCCCCAGGACCGGTTTTTCATCCTAAGTCGTTTTTCGACGGTCCCGAGGCCCGGCGAGGGCCCCTAGAGTGCGGGCGCGGCCGCAAGAAACCCTCGCAAGAAACCCAAACCTGAGAACCCGCGCGCGAGGTGCACCGGAGGGGAAACCTGGAGCACCCCGAACGCAGCAGCTCCTTCAACGGCCGCGGGAAGGCGCCGCGCAGCGCGAGGAGCCAAGAAACCGAGGATACCCTGACGAAAAGCATATGGTTTCTTGATGCGCGCCCCCACTGTGGGGGCCGAAATGTGCGCAAAACCTCCGCCTTGATTTTTTCAATGCCTTGGATCTCTGGGAACATCGGGAAGGCACGCGCAGGCGGTGTCTCCGCGCCGCGGCCGGCACACGGAGAGAGGCGGCGTGGGCCCGGTGCGCGCGGCGTGGCCGCGGGTCCGCGCGGGGCGGTGCCTCCGCGGCCGCGGCGGCGCCCCTCGCGGCGGAGGCGGCCGGGCGCCGGCGAGGCCGCGGAGGCACAGACCCTTTGGCGCGCGGGGCGCGTGCAGCGGGAGCGGCCAAGCCCAGACATCGGGCGTCTCGAGAAAATCGAGACGGAGGTTTTTCATAGTTCTTGGCCTCTCGGGGCCCTCGCCGGACCTCGGGACCGTCAAAAAACGACTCGGGATGAGAAACCGGTCCCAGGGAAGTGGTCGGGAGGTCGGGGGCCCGCGTCTCGAAAAAATCGAGACGTCGGATGTCGTGGTCCCCTGAGATTCGGCGCTCCACAAAAAAATTGGCAGGCGGTTTTTGGCCGTTTTCGGCCTCCAGGGGCCCTCGCCGGGCCTCGGGAGCGTCAAAAAACGGCTCGGGACGAAAAACCAGTCCCATGGAAGTGGTCTGGACCTCCGGAGCCCACGCACCAAAAACAAGGGAGCAGCCAGATGTCTGTGGACCTTTTGGCGCGCGGGGCGCGTCCAGCGAGAGCGGCCAATTGGTGGGCCGAAGGGGAAGGATGCAAGGGTGCGCGTCGTTCACTTCTGGTCGTGCTCGTGTCTGATTGTGCCCGTCTCCAATTCTCCCTGGCCCCCCTTGTGGCCAGGAAGGGGCCCAGGATAGAACAATTGGAGATGAAAGGATCGTGGCCCCCGCAAACGATCGATGAACCTTCGAAGAATTAGACATCAACAGTGTGTAACCTTGGAAGGTCGTTCAGCCGCACTATGCGGGCTGGGTGTACGATCTGTCGTCGTCGATGGCGGAGTCCACGCCTCGAGACGAGCACGGCCTAGAGCATGTCGTGAATGGGGAAGTCCACGCTCCGAGACATACGCGACACGACCGTGCTTCTCCGCTGCTGGCCTCGGTCGAAGCCACGGGATTCGAGCATTTCCATGATATTCCTGACCTTCTTGTTCATGCCCACGAGCTTGAATTTCAGCCTTGCCATGTCGATGGCCTTGGCCGCACCGTGCAGCTTATGTATTGATGCGGCGAACTCGTTGATGTCGATTGTGCCACCTCCGTCCGTGTCGAAGAGATCAAAAAGCATCCGCGGCTCGATGGCTATAACGTCGACTCCGAGGCACTTCAATATGTTCTGCATTTGGAGATCCGTCAACAATCGATGAAAACCCTCCCATTCCAACTTGCCAGTGCCGTCCTTGTCAGCTTTATGGAAAAGAAGTCTCACGTCGCGCACCCATCTCTTTTTTCTATCAAGTTCATTCCACATCCTGCAGTCATCGTCTGCCGCGATTACATGGGTCGCCTTGTCGACAATGATACCAGTAATTGTGTTCAAGACACAGAACAGTGCGATCGCGACGTAAGCGGAGTAAGCCACTACAAGAAATGGAGAGATCGTTAGCAAGGGTTCTGCAGCGTCGCCCCAAGACACCCCACTCGTGATGCTCTGGTAGAGTATGTAAATTGCGCGCGGAAGCGAGCCCCAGTACAAGACAAGGTCTCCAGTCGAGCCTGCCGCATCATTGGTCAACTGGGTCTCCACTATCTGTACGAAGCTGACGGCGAAGAGGTACATGAGCATCGCAAGCAAGCAGCCCGCCCACAAGAGGAGCCTCAGAGAGCTGCAGATGGCAAGGACCATGACCCTCAGTTCCGAGAAGAACCTGATGATTCTGATCACCCGCATGGCACGCACGAGCCTGCTCAAGCGGAGAAGGCGAGCGAAGTTCATTTTGATGAACGAGGCGCCGAAGGCCGCCATCAAGAGCTCCCAATAGGAGATAGTTACAAGCGTCGTGTCGAAAGTGTTCCAGTAGAGCTCTGGACTTCGTGGGCTGAAGAAAGCGCTCCCCTCGGCCACGATGCGCAGAGGCAACTCCAAGGTGAAAAACGCCACGAGGGTATTGTCGAGCACGCGGAATTCCAGCGGCAGTTCCTCTGCTGGGTGGTGTACGCCCCAGTCGACCTGCACCCCGATGAACACGGCATTCGCGAAAATGAGGGCCGCGACCGACCACTCAAACGTGGGGCTCGCGATGAGCCGCTGACAATTCCGTCGCGTGCTGGTGGCTGCCATCGCCGGCTTGGTCCTCGACGAGTACGGATCGATGGTCGCCCTCGTGCACGACCTCTCGAGAGCGTCCAGGCTGACCTCCTTCTCCATGGCCTCCATCGAGACGCTCCTCATCAGCCTCACCAGCCTGGGGCTACTAGCGTCATCTGCATTAGTGTCTGCCTCCATGTCGAACTCGTCCTGGTCGGAACACGAATCGAGGGACATGCTGCTTCCCATGCTCGCGGGACTGCCGGGCCTAGCGCGGGCAAAGGCCTGTGCAAGGCCATCCTTCCTCCTGCGCACCAGGCGCCGGGTCGTGGGCGACGCTGGCGGTGACAGTGTCCGTGCCATTGCTTGGCTCCTCGCGGACCCCGTCTGGATCTGAGACGGCCCTGGCCAGCGCCTGGGTGCGCCTCGTCGTGGCGGGCGCCATGCGCGCCCGCAGAGAACGCCTGCTGTGAGACTGGAGCTCTGACACGGCGCGGCGCGGTGATAGCGGGGCCGGAACTGCTGCTCCACCCGCCTGGGCCGGCCTGGCAGGAGGAGGGCTGCCGTGCAGCGCCTGCGTGAGCGCGGCGCTGCTCCTCGCCAGCGCCTCGCCGGCAGCCCCGGCCGCGCCGCTGGAGGGCGCTCCGTGCGGCGCCTCCAGCTCCGCGCTGGCGCGCAGTAGCTGCACCAGCAGGTCCAGGTGGTGCACGCAGCCGCCCAGAAGAGTCGGCCCAGGCTCGCCGTCTGCGGGGACAGGACGCTCGCCGGATGGGCTGCCTGCGGGATCGGGCGGGGCATCGGCCTCCTCTCTGCTACCCCACGGGAGCATGGCGCCGGCTGCTGATCGCAGCGCCCACGCGGCAGGCGCCGGGCGGCCCCTGCGGTAGCCGGGGCGCAGGCCCGTCTCGAGCGTTCGGCACAGGCTGGCGTCAAAGCTGGACCTACCCAAGCAGACCTCTGGCTCTCTCGAGCTTGAGCCCACGCGATTACGGAGTGGGGAGGAGGAGGAGGAGGAGGAGGAGGAGGAGGAGGAGGAGGAGGAGGAGGAGGAGGAGGAGGAGGAGGAGGGGGAGGAGGAGGAGGAGGAGCAGGAGCAGGAGCAGGAGGAGCAGGAGCAGCAGGAGGAGGAGGAGGACACGCGGGGCAACGTCTCTTCAAAACGGGGACCCAACACCACAGGACGGTTGGAAAACCTATAGGGGGACCGCCGTGGTTGTGCACCCAACGTTGTCTCTGAGCCGTCTTGAAAGCCTTCGTGGAGCCTCTCGGGGGCGCCTCCAGGGGTCTTTTGGAGGCTCCTGGGGCTTCTTGGGAACCTTTGAGGCTCTCGTGGTACTTTCAAAAGCCTCTTGGGGACCTCTTGGAATCTTTGGGTCCCATTGGGGTGCATGCGGTATCCTCGGAAGCATATCGGAGACGAAACAGCGAGAAGGTGGAAAGCAGTGATTCCGTTTGTGTTCTCATGATTTCGGCCTCTCGGGGGCTTCCAGGGGGCTCTCTTGGGCGGTCAGGGGAGCCTCTTGGAGGCTTCCTGGCGGGCGCTCGTGAGGGGCTCCTGGGCAGTCGGGATGCCATCTTGGGCTGTCATAGAACACCTCTTGGGCGGTCTCGGGGGGCGCCCTGGGCCATCTCGAAGCCCTCCTGAGGCCCCGCTGGAAGGCCTGGGAGGTCTGTACGAAGCCAAGCCTCCCAGGGCCTCGTACATGGCCGCACGAAGACCAGGGCTGTACATGGCCTCAAGCGGGCCTTAAGCGGGCCTCGCACATGGCTGTACGAAGGCCAGGGCCGTACATGTACGAGGCCTCAAGCGGGCCTCGCACATGGCTGTACGGAGACGAGGGCTGTACATGGCTGGGAGGCCGCTTGAAGGCCTGGGATTTGCCGCAGGCATGTGCCATCGAGCTGGGCAATGTCCCTGTTGGGTGGGGGAGCACTTGCTGATATTATTCTAGAGCCACGCGCGCTTCGCGCGCGCTAAGGCTCCAGCAAGGTCGAGCCCTTGACGCGCGAACAGCTGCATGCTTATGTTCACCCACAAATGGAACAGGAGATGGAGAAGTAGCAATAATTAACGCCGACCCAAGAAACCCCGAAAAAAGGAACGCGGACGGAACTATCAGGCCATCCGCCCCGAGACCGCCAACAACGCCCGAAAAGGCAACAATGATGCCCTAAGAGGCCAGCTAGAGGCTCCTTGGAGGCCCACAGCAGGCCTCAGAGAGGCCCCCAAGATACGCCAAGAGGCTTCAATACTGCTTCTAAAGCGCCCCCGATGGGGCATCTCTGAGATCGATCCTGGGGCACCACTGGCGCACTTGAGCAAATGTGACGGGTCATGGCTGCTCTGGTGTCGGCTCGTGTAATCCATGTTTCGAATTCACCCTGGACGCCCACCCAAATTCACTTCAAACCCTTCCGAGACCGCACTCCACTCCTGCCCCCATTTACAACTGCACGTTCTCGAAAAGGAATCGGATCGGCAGTCCAAGAAGGAGAAGGCTGACGCCGAAAAGGAGGAGGAGGAGGAAGAGGAGGAGGAGGAGGAGGAAAAGGAGGAGGAGGAGGAGGAAAAGGAGGAGGAAGACTCGAACGAGGACGCCCACCCAAGTCCCGCACAGATCGTCGCCCCAAGCTATGTCAACACGCTTGAACCAATCTGGGGGGCCGCGGCTGCCCTGGCGCCAGCTTCCAAGCTCAAGACTGCCCTGAAAACCCTCTCAACCAAAGCCGTGCCCATTTTGTTGGCCGCCTCGCGCCCGCGCCGCAACCCTCTCGAGGCTGTCTGGGGCCGCCCCGAAGCCTTCTGGATCGCCTTTGGGGTGGTCGGGCCGCCCAGTGCAGGTGTGGCCTTGCAGAGCGGGCCGCTCACTTTTGGGGGGGGCCTCCTCGGCGCTGAAGATCAGCCGCCCTGCGCCGCGCACGGGTCCACCAAGCAGATCCGGGCAAGGCCCCTCCCCCCGCGTTGGGCGGCGAGCCGCTCGGCCAGCGCGCCGACGCATTGCGCCGCCCACTCGCGGAGCGGCGGGGGCCGAGCCGCGGCGCCCGCGGCCTTGAACGTCTCGTCGTTTCTTCTGCGCCCCGGCGACTCGAGCCCCGCCGGGGGGCGGCGGCAGCGGCCCCGGGCACGCGCCGCTCGCGTCGGACTGCGGGCCGCGGACCCTCGCATTGGAGCTGCGGGTCAGCGGCCAGCCCCAGAAGCCGACCGATGGTCGATGGGGCGCGTCGGCTTCAGAGGCAGCGCGCCGGAGCTGCTCCGGCGGAAGGCCGCGGCGCGCGCGCTCCGGCAGCTGCCGCACACAAGCAGGGCGCTGCCCGCAAAAGGTCGCCCGCATGGACGGCGCCGCGGTCCTCGGGCTGCTCCCGGAGGTCAGCTGCCTGGCCGCTGCTCGCCAGCTGGACCCTTAGCGCTCGGGGGGCCAAGTCGGCATGCTGGTTGGGCACATGGCACTCGAGCTCCTCGCGGCCCCCCAACCGGGAAAAAACCCGCGGGCGCCGCGCCGATCGCCGCGGGCGCGGGCCTCCGCGGCTTGCCCACGCCGCCCACGACAACGAACGCGTGCCACTCGCCGGCTGCCTGCAACTAGCAAGCGACGGAAATGGCGCAACCGACGGGAACGAAACGCACGACGGAAACGATGCAACCGACGGGAGCGACGCAACCGACAGAAAAGTTGCAACCGACGCAAACTCGCAGACCACGACCTGCGCCCCAACCCGCAACCGACGGAAACGACGCAATTAATTGGCATCGGGCCGAAGACATGTTTTTTTTTCCCGCGCGAAGCGTATTCAGTCGGGTTGTTCGCAAAGGGCCCCCTGTCGACGATGTCCCCGAACCCCCCCCCCCCCCCCCCCGAGAATTGCACGCAATCGAAATACAGGGGGAAGGCGGAGGCAGCCCAAGCCCCGTCGACAACTCTCACGTCATTGTGACTCATAGTTCTCTTATCAGGCACAGCTGAAACTCCTTCGCGATGAAGCAAGAGGTGTTTATCAGGCACAGCTGAAACTCCTTCGCGATGAAGCAAGAGGTGCTTCCATGATCTTCGGGGCCAGGCTTAAGCGCGGGTTGACAAGCGCCCGCGGCTTTGGAGTGGACTCAGCACTCGTAGCCAATACCCAACATGCCTCTTAACGATCACCCTGGGCTCGCCGCTGCCGCGCCGAGCGACTCTGGGACCCCCGCGTCTGTCGGGCAAGATGTGACCTGCATCAGCCAACATCTCCTGAAGTGTTCGCTCGGTGCTCAGCTTCGCCCCCCCCCCCGCGCGCGCCCCGCCCCGCCCGCCCTGCCCTGGCAACAGGGCCAGCAAACGCCCCGCGGATACGCCGCCGATCAAGTCAATGAGCTGGCGCGCCGGCGCGCCGCCATTCTGCTCCTCGGATTGGCAAGCAAGGCGCAGGAGAGGACGCACTCGACGCCGCCGCCATCCAACCTCAGGACCCGAAGGCCGCCCCGCGGACCGCGAAGCATTGCCCCAGGCAGCAATGCATCATCATTCGTCGAACGCCTCAGATCATATGAGACCCTGACAGTCTCGGCGTCTCACTCTTAGGTATCCCGGAATATCTCTCGCCCTCTGCTCGTCGCCGCCGTCGCAAAACTGGGCGCCGACGTCAACGAACGCGCTGGAGAGCTCGGAGGCGAACGGCACAGCCGCGTCGCAATGCTCGAGCGCTGCTTCGAGCCTGCCCATCCGCCACAGACTTGCAGCGCAACCAGCGACGCAGTGGACCCCGCCGACGAGGAGCCCAAAGTTTCCCGCGCAGCACTGCCCGACGCGCTCTGAATTATGAGCGCACGTTGCCAGGGGCTAAAGGCGCGCCGAGTCCTCCTCCATCTCGGGCCCCGCGCAGAACTGCAACGACCTCGGCCAGCGCGGCGCCGGCGGCGGCCTCGCCGTCTCGCGCGCCGCGGCGGCGCCGAGCGGCCCGTCGACGACAACTGTCCGGCACGCCGCGCACAGGCTGGAGTCCTGGACCAGGGAGGCGCAGGAGGCGCAGCCAATCTGGCACGAGGGGCAGTGGCGCGCGAAAGCAGCCTTGGACTGGTCGGAGGCCATGGACTGGCCGGCCTCGGCGTTGGCGGCAAGACACGGTCGCCCTCGATGGCGCCGCCGCCGTCGCCAGCAGCCGCGCCAGGACGCGAGGTTAAGGGCCCCATCGTCCTCCTCGGCAGCCAGGGCGGCTGCCGCCGGAGCTGGGGCGGCGCCGAGCGCCGCGCTGCTGCCTCTGCTGGCTGTCTTCCACAGCGGCAGCAATTCCGAATAGCTGCCGCGGGCGGCTGCCGCTGCTGCCGCCGCCGCTCCTCCGCCGCCTTGGCCGCGCCCTCCTCCGCCAGCCGCCTTTCGGGCTGTCGCCGCGGCTGCGCAGGGCGCCGCGCTGCCGCTGCTGCGCCTCCCCGCTGCCGCCGGCGCCGCGCAGCTGTTGCCGCTGCTTGTCCGGCAACCAGAATCCGAAGGATAATGAGAGTGGAGATAGGAAGTCGAGGAAGAGATGAGCGCTGAGCCTTCCCCCCCCCAAGGCCCCCCTGTTCCCGAAGCACTTCTCGCGCGGTCTCGGCCATGACCGGGATTGGATTGGGGCCGCCCAGTCGCGCATGCACCCTCGCGCCTGACCCGGCCCTCGGGCCGTCAAAGCCAACCGAGGACAGCGAGGGGGGTGGCTATAGCAAAAGCGCACGGTGCACATGCGAGGAAAACTGGAGCCGTCTCTGCGAGCTCACACACAAACAAGAGCATGCTGAAGCCTAACATTCAGAACAGCCTCAGGACATTCAGAGCTAACGAACTGGCGTTGCACGCTACTTCTACGCGTATTCTCACCGAGGCTGCAGCAGAAGAGTCTTGACAAATGGGCGGGCGGACCAGAGACAATCTGCTTGCACTGCCCACGCCCCAAAATAAACAGCAGCAGCGCCAAGAGGCGCGCGCGCGAGCAAAAGGGCTGGCGGGTTGATCAACCAGCCAGGGAAGCACGGGCACAAGTTCAGGAGGCACGCGATCATGTCAGTGACGGCCGCGCACGGCAGCCCGATGATAGCGAGCATCTTCATCGCTCGACGCGCGCGCCCACGGATTGGTCGACATAACGAAGATTTTCCCATTGTTACAAAGAAATAGATCTGATGCACGCCCTTCACATGCGTGGTCAACTGGAATGTATTCGATTGTTTGTCCCTGCCTGTCTTCGTGGAAAGTGAGTTGGTTTCCAAGATGCCGTTGAGCTTCGCCTGCGACGCGCCAGCACGCGCGGTGGGTTTCTCCGCCCTTTTGGCCGGCCCATCAACAGGCCAGCCCGGCATGTCTTCAGCGGAGAACATGTCCTCCGCCATCGTGCGGATTTCCTCGGGCACGGCTGCGTTCTCCGCCGCTGCCGCTTCCGCGGGGAGGATGAGTCCGCGCGGCTGGCTGCGGCTGCCAGCGCGGGGCCACCCCGTAGCTGCTGCGCCCTTCTCCTCCATCTGCCGAAGCATGGCGCGCCTGGCGCCGATCATCTTCAAGATTGTAGATGGAGAGGTACGCTCTGCCGCATGTCCTCGGCGCTTGCCTTCACGGGTTGCTTATTCCATGATTTGAATACTCTGGCCATCTGCTGCTGCGTTACCCCTGGCATCTCCACGTCGCTGCCAATGAGGTTCGCCATGATAGATTCGCCGGCTTCGTCGCCTGAATTGAGGCCACCCGTTGTCGAGGCTCCCATCAGGGCCTTCATCATATAAATGATCATCGTTTGTTTTGCCACCTTGCTGTTAGTTGATGTATGTCCTCTCTTCTGAGAAGTAAATCCCCGATGCTGAACTCGCCGAGGCACTCGCCTCACTTGATGCTGAAGCGTTGGGGCCATTCTCCCCGAGGAATCTATCCCCCACCATCTTCAAAATATTAAATAGCGCTCCTTTCTCATTCTTCTTGATATTTCTTCTCCCGTTGTGCATCATCATGGCTGCTGCCGGCGCCGAGGATCTTGCTGGCGGCCTCCGTGATCATCTGGCCGCGGCCGCTGGTCTGCTCCTCCTCCTGCATCTTCTGCTCGCGGCCCCAGGAGGTCGCGGCCATCTCATCTGCGCTCTCGACGGCGGAGCGGGCCCAGACTGCGCGCGCTGGCGGGGCTGGCGGGGCCGGTCGGCATTGCCCTCGGCCGCCCATGCCCCCGCCTCCATCGCCGCGCCCCTTGCCGCGCCCCCCGGGCCCACTGCGGGGGCAATTCCCGCGGCCGCGGCCCCGCGCCGGCCCGTCGCGGGCGGCCGCCCCCGGGCATCGCCGCGGGCACTGGGCGCGCATGGCTAGCCTGAGAGGTTCGAGCCAAGACTCGACGAGGAGAAGGGCGGGGGAACCAGCGTGGACTAATAAAGTACCGAGACGCCCCCACACGCACATTTCCCCTCCGAAAACCTTCCCCCCCCCCAGGGGCGCCCCCCAGAAGCCCCCGCGCCCGCGTGCAGCAGGCGACCGAATGGGCCACCCCAAGGCCAGGACCTCGCACGCGATATCCACGGAGGCCGTCCGGGCCCCGAGCGGGCCCTCTTCAGACGCGCAGTTTAAAGCAACGGTTCGCCCCCGAAGCCCGGCATGGATGAAGGAGCAAGGGGCCGCTCCGAGGCGGAAAAAAGAAATCTGGAAACTCGGCGCGCTGCGGGGCGGGAATTCTGCGCGAGAGCAATCGCGACTCGCAGTAATCGCATGTAGCTCAAACGGGAGGGGCCCACAATGAGGGCGCCGATCCCAGGGAGGCCCACGCGCTGGGATAATGCAACTCTGGGGAAAGCACCCGACGAAGCACATCCCACTCCAGGGTAAATCCAAAGCCCCCCGGGCAAAGGCGGCGCAAGGAACTGAACCGGGGGGCGGAGCCGATGGGGCGGGAAAGGCGAGAGAATCATCCACATACGGGAGAGCCTGAGCGAGTTGATTTGTGGAGGGCCTGTCCATGCGAGAGGCCAACGTGCGCTGCCAATCGTCTGTCTACGCATAGCTGGCGTTCGCAACTATCCAGATGAACCAGAGTCGCAGGCCTGGACAACGGGGCCCCCGCGGCCCACAGTGGAGTCTCAAATACGGCCTTACAAACAACATAGAAACGATCATGCTTGACATGCGCAATGGCTTTCTCGACGTCCGCGAACGAGATCACGTCGCATCCCTAGCGAACGGGCCCCCTGGAATGAGGATGTTGCCAGATGGCTTCTTGCCTCTCTCAAGTGCAGAGCTGGTTGCGTCGCAATTGGCCATTGTTCGGTCCAGGAAGCCACGAACACGCGCGAGTCCTCGCACAAAACTGCACATTCAGAAATTGGCGAGGCGTCGGCTTAACAAAACTGAATCTCATCGTTTAGGCAACCACACTTGGCACCATGCGTTTGACTTCTTTGGCAGCGCACGCCAACTTGGTTGCCTTCGTTCCACTGAGTCTGGCCACCTCGTTCGGTGCCCGCATGGCCCGCAAGATGTCGCCACTCAGAGTTCTACCGACCGAATCGCTCTTGCGGCCTCGCCGAGAAACAATGCCTGCGTCGTTCTGAAATCGCCAGCGACATCTCGAACATGCGCGTGCTGTTTGGGGCAGGCAATTGCGCCGCTAGTGGGAAATACTTCCCTTTTTGTATGTGATGCGCGCATTGGGAGATAACCTGGCTCCGTCTCTACGTATTGCCTCGGCATTTTGGCGCAAGTTGCCCGTCGCGCTTCCGCGGCAATTTTGCCCGCGATTTCGGCGCAGGGCTGGTCTACGTGCATAGCGCGTTGCATATGGCAAGACTGCGCTCCCCCGGATCCAGATCTGCGGGCCACTGTGCTCCTGACCCACAGCGGGCGCCCATGTCCACCCGGGCCCGCGCCACGGAGGGCCGGGGCAAATAAACGCCCGCGCACTCTCGCAAGGGGCCCCTCCGGCAAGCAAGCACGGGGTGGCAGGATAGTCGCAAAATCAAAGCATCAACTACTTTTAAGCGTCGTGGCGCCTGGGAGTGCGGTAACAAATTGCCAGATTCAGCGACGCAGTCGCCGCTGTTGGCGCAGCTCTCCCCGCGCGTCTCAGATGCTCGGCATCTCTGGCACACCCCACTATGTCTCGTTCCAAACCAACGATATGGCGCTCACTGCATCTTGCAAACTCAAGGGATTTGCGCATGCGCTGATACAACTCAAACGAAAAACGAAATGAGATCTGGTTCCAGCGCGATATGGAGCCGCTGCATCGCAGGGCCGCCCGGCTGCAGACCGCGGCCCCGACCCAGAGGCACCCGCGCAGCAGACGATCCTCACCGCAAACCTCCCGAAGATACTTACACACGGGATGCAACTCTTGGGAGAATGGCCACGTGGCCCTGCGGCGCACGCGCGGCGCGCGGGCGGCGGAAAATCACATTCCCCGCGCGCGTGAACCGCCCCACGTTCGACTGCGCACTTGCTAGCTGGGCAACGGAGAGGTGGCAAGCAAGAGGCCCGACGACAAGGCAATCGCGCGGGAGGTCTGCGCGTCTCCACACCTCCCTACTGTCCAATCTCGCGCCGTGCTGACCAAGCAAGATTACCCACCAATTCTCACGTTTATGCTTGTTCATCAGGGCAAGAATGCGAAATTTGGAACGGCAATATGCGCGCCTACACGCATGCGCGAGGTCTTGGAACGATGCGCATTGATCGTGGAAGCGGGCGCGCAACGCTGGGTTCCCCCGAATGCCGGCGAAGACGTGCAGATCGCACTCTCGCCCCACCGCCTTGCGCTCACTAAACCCAGGGCATGGCCTGGCCACGTGTTCTCTAACTATATCGTTCCCCGGGAGAAGCTGCTGAGTGGGTGGACGGAACAGCTCAGTGGAGAGGGCCTCAAGACGTCGGATTTCCGCCTGCAGGCCAAACGCAACAGGGGGCGCGCATAGCGACCATGGATCTGCCCCCCCCCTCCAATATATATATATATATATATATATATATATATATATTATAATATATACATATATATATATATATATATATATATAAATATATACATACATACGTTGGCCGATGCCCCTGTCACTTTTTTTACAAAAGAATCGATTCATCGCGCTCCCTAAAACGAGCCACCACCCCGTACCATGGGGACTTGTCAACATGACGTTGCGCCTGCGCCCACCCACCAGCAAACCTGCCTCCCAGGAGAGGGCACAATACAGGTTGCACTAAGGCGCTCGGTCACGCGTTGGGTCCCAGGTAATGGCGCGCAGCTGCGTGATGCATGAAATCAAGAACGGCGCTCGGAACGTCTTAAGAAGTAGCGCGGCTTGAAGGGTTGGCCCACATGCTCGCAACATGACGCGTGTACTGGGATTGCTGCGCCACTCTGACATGGGATGAACCCTAGAAGATGCACGCAACCAAGCGCTGTGAATACGTTCCACGCGGGCTTGTCCGAACGACCTCTTGCAAGCAAAACGGACAGGACGCAACTCATGTCTCGTATTTTACCATGCGCACGCGGGCATCTAAACCCATACTCGGGCCAAACCAAAACTCAGGCAGCGATCTTCCTACTGCACCTTTCAAGGCTCGCATCTCTGGGGATTAAAAGACACTCTAAGTTGGCTGCCATGAAGGCGGGGCGCCCGAGCGCTTGGATTTGCCCCCCCCACCCCCCCCTCCCCTTCCCAACACGGCTGCGGCAGAGAGGACAGGATAGGCCGTGCACAGCGCGCGGCAGGCCTCCATTCTTCGGGGGGGAGGGGGGGGCATCGGTGGCATGGGTATGTTGGTAAGACCACGCGTGATGTAGCTCTTGCCCGCCTCCGCCTGGAAGCTGGGGGGGGGGGGGGCTGCTGGTCTGACAACGAGGGGCAAACGGAAAACGAAGGTGGATATAAACATCGAAGAGGGCATGAGTGTTGAGCCCTAAGGTCGCCCTGTCCCCGAAGCCCTTCTCCTGCGGCCTCGGCCATAAACAGGGTTGGGACTGTCCAAACGTGCTTGCGCCCTCGCGCTTGGCCTGGCCCTCGGGCTATCAAAGCAAACCGAGGGCAACAAGAGAGAGAGAGAGAGAGAGAGAGAGAGAGAGACGACTATAGCAGACGTGCACGGTGCATACGTGAGGAAGGCTCCAATCGTCGATGCGAGCTTACATACAAGCAGGAGCATGCTTAAGCCGAACCTTCCGAACAGCACCAATACACTCGAAGCAAGCGGATCGATGCTGGAAGTTATTTTTACGTGTATTGTCCCAACGACTGCAGCGTGAGCGGTGAACACCTGGGAGGACCATATGCAATATGCTGCTGCGGCTGTTGCTGCTGTTGCTTCTGCTGCTGCTGCTGCTGCTGCCCCTCCTCTGCGTCGCCGCTCAACCTCCACCGCCTGTGCCTGTGGCTGGCCTCGGGCCCGCCGCCGAGGC